GAAAATTTTTAAGCCAAAAAAAACCTTAAACGATGTAGTTTTGTATTCTTAGGATCTGGGTTGTATGAATTAACTGTAATCGCCCATTAGGTCAAAATCGCATCCAACAAAGCTCCAACGAGTGGCAGTGCATGAGCAGCTCGGATTGCAGCCGGATTGCGACAGTCGAGTTGTCGACGTTCACTAAGTAATTTTCCAACATCCAATCTCAAATAAGACGCAGAAATATAAAAGTTCCACCATTACAAAAATCACATGGTAGGTCACAATTATCACATGCATGTTGCCTTTCGTTGTTCAGTGGTAGCATGAGGGTGGGATCAGTCGGAGTACAGGAACCAAGAACCATGTTGGAGGGGAATTAAGGGAAGAAGAAAGATTTAAAAAAAAAAAAAAAGACAAGAAAAGAAAAAAGAAGAAGAAAGAAACAACAAAAATGGAGTTCTCAAAACGATTACGTTCCACATCTTTGTCCGCTTAAAAATTTGGTTAAATGCTAATTTTGGTCCTTTAATTTTATGGTTTTACATAATTTTCATCCATCAATTTTTTTATGTATTTTTTTGGTCCATTAACTATGAAAAATGTTTTTTTTTAATCATTCTATTAATTAATCCGTTAAACCTATTTAAATTTACATTTTTTTGTCCCTCAAGGCCTCAACATACAGTTGAGGATTAAAAAAAGCATATTAGAAGATCAGGAATTAAAAATATGTAAATTCAGATAGATTTAATAGATTAATTAATAAAAAATTAAAAAAAAAATTTTATAATTAAGAAATCAAAAAAATACATAAAAAATTAAAAAATAAAAATTATATAAAATTTAAAATTGAAAAACCAAAATTTACATTTAAGCTAAAAATTTCGAGTCTATGCCCACTTTTTTTTTTTTTTATTTCATGGGGGGCCGTCGTGCAAAATTGACCATTATTATTTATTTATCCCCAATCACGCTGGCCCAAAAAATAAAAAATAAAAACCTCAAATCACACTTCTGACGCGCTTTGGATGGAGCGTGGCGCTTAGCATCCCAATAAGACAAGGGAAATCTAA